AATGTAAGATATGGAAAATCTTGAAACAAATGAATAAATACAAAAAAACTATGTTGAAATCAGTAATATTAAATTTCAATAATGATACAGTGAAAGTAAAATAGCAATCATTGATATGATTGTCATAAATTCCATTTTTGTAGATTTATTGAGATAAAATCTATTATTTTGATGATACTGATTGGTAAAAATAGTGAAAATAAGTTTTACAAATTGTCTTGTACATTTACAATTCCTTCAGATTCTCATCCAATGTTATATAATGTATGTATTCATCTTTTAACTTCAAAGATGTATGTAAATCTTTTTCAGCTAATCTGGGAAAAAAATGATCACCCATTTAAATGTTGCTCAAAATCAGTGTGAAATGGAAAATGTAAAAATAAAAAAAAAGATAGCACAAAACTAAATAAGAAAAAAAAACTTTCTTGTAATTTCTCTCCTTTTTTTGATGTTGTTATGGAGTGATTTCACCGTGGAGGCTTGTATTTGTACTAAGTCGGTCCTAATATAGGTTCGACGTACAAAACGTTAGGAACTTGATATAATAGGTATAACACAGAGTAAATCTAGTTGTGGTCACTGATACTTTAGTATCCGACTAACGGTCATCCGGCATCGACTGACTGACCAACTCACTGAGCCACTTGTTACTCCTACTTATTATAGGTGGGAGAGTCTATTAACTATAGAATAGGTGTGTTCCACTATAACAGATGACTAGGATCTTTATCATTGTTGTTTAGACTGAAATGTGTTTCAGTCTTCCTCAGGTGCATAGTATCTCAATATAGTGGGTAGGAGTGGGAAATTTTGCTTTTAAAAAATTTAGTTTTTAGTACTGATTGATTTTAGTTTAATACTGATTGATTTTGATTGCCCTTCTTGGTTACTATATTGCTGTTTTACAAATAAACACAGTGATAATGGATTATTCAGACCATAAATACTGAAAAGAAATTTCCATTTTAGAAGGGCAATGAAGTTGAAGTACTTTTTGTCAACATTAAATTTAAGAAATATACAAGTGCAATAGCAGAGAACCTCATTGTTAGTATTTTATTTCCTACTTAATCCAGTAACCTATTTCCCACGATGTTTTTCTTTAAAAAAATCACACTGCATTTTATTATCCCGATGGGTGAGTTACTAGTCACACTTAAATGCCCAGTTGACACTTGTCTTCTCATGATATCCAAAATGAAATATATATGATTATAAATGATTAAATTATGATTCCAAATCCAAATAATGTTAAAATATTAAAAACCTCCTGTTTGTCATACTATTTCCTGATGACCCCAGAATGAAATATAGATTATTATAATTTATGATTACTAATCAAATAATGTTAAATAATTTTAAAAAATGGACACTGTATAAGTATACATTGAATGTTATTAGTTTTTCTTAAATATATATTGCCAACCTATAACTGTTTACTATATGCCAGGTAATATGGTCTTTAAAATGACAAAAGTGTCACTGACATGGAGATTTTTAATCATGTTTTTATCTGTGTTTCTCTGTGCAGCATTTTATATTCTTCCTTTGTTTTTGTAAAGGCACATTCCTTAAATCCTTCAATTCCTGATTTTGTGAACTGTCTTCCAGAACCCTGTTCTTTTATTGCTCTTTCTTATCACTAATATCATCGGATTCGCTTCCAATCTTGGTAACCCCTTGTGTCTTAGTGGCATTATCACTTTGCTTCAGGTGAGATGAAAAAAACAAAAAAAACTCATGTTAAATACACACAAATGGACACACAGAGGCTGATTTGATAGCATCACCTACCTTCTGGTTTGCATTTTACTCAACACGATAGTAATAAATGCAGATATCTTCAATTCTGCAAATAAAAAATTGTTTGTTTTGTTTCTCTGCAGCGGCTGATATTTTTATTCATATGAATATGCATAGACTGACAATGCTCCCCATTGAGTGCCAGTGCTAAGAAAATAATCCTCGATGTTTAATAACAGAATTATAATTTATATTCACAAAATATATGTATTTTTTCTCACCAGTAGCACAACTCTGACTTTCATGCACAACACAATTGTCAGGTGCTGATTAAAAAATGACTGTTGTATAATTTAAATGTTGATACATCTTCTGTACTATAATGATAGTGAGTAGGGAAGTTAAAAAAAAATAAAATCATAGTTTTCAATCGATTGCGTTGTGCATGAAACTCAGTAATGTTACTGATGAGGGAAAAATATATATATATATATATATATATATATATATATATATATACTAGCCAAATTACCCGCACCTTGCTTTGTGTCACATTTTTTTTTAAATCATTCTTATAATTTGTGGAGAAAAATAATGCATTTCAATATTACTCAATAATCTTGCCAATGTGACCTCCATTTTCTGATTTTCTCCTTCTATATTTTGGATTGAAGTCATACCCTTGTTCAAATTAATATTAATTTAAATCAAAGGGAAAACATTTTCAGTGGCGGGGTTTGTGCTTTCCGGGGACCTCTTTGACCAAAATGAAATATACTTATCCAAGTATACTGGGTAATGTAGTTTCTGAATATATATGGTTATGGGGATCTATCTTGAAAACCCTAGGAGTAGTTCGATAAC